CAATTTTACCTGTCACGCCACTATTGTAATTGAGGAAACACATCCGTAGCTGTAATGAAGAGTTTTTACGTTGTAGAATAACGAAAGATATTAAATTTGCACGAGGCGCGGCTCGTACAAAAGTAATCAATTATTAAACGCGTTATTAAAAGCGTTTAATAACGCATGACGTTGAAAGATACCCATTATACCGTTAAAACTTGAAGATGCCAGATTATTTCGTAATACGTAGACAGAAAAAGAAGCTTGAGATTCAAGTAAATAATTACTCCAATATTCCTTAGTAAATCTTTACTTGGATTAAAGTAAATATCACTTGGATGTTACACTTTTTTCACTCATATAATGTTTACTTGATTTAAGTAAAATTTATTTAATCCAAAAATTTGCTAAGGAGTAATGGAGTAATTATTTACTTGAATTTAGCACTTTCTTCTGTATACATTTTTCTACTGGAAACGCCCATTCAAATATTCGACGTCGTTTCTGTTGGATCCAGTAGTTTGAATAATTAAATAGACAGATTGTGCATACGAAAAATTATTACACCACCGAAATTTCTTACTGTTCTTGGTTCCCGGAGAGAGAATTTCGTTGTGGCGTGGGAGATGATAAAATCATTTCTGAAGAACCATAAATCTTCCTCGTTTCATTTTTATTTGCACAGTTATTACGCATATCCGTATTTAACTTTCCCGGGGTTTCAAGAAGTATTATATCCGGTTGGAGATAAAGCGAGATGGGACGTTATATGCACGCATGAATCTTTTCCAGGTGCTTGTTTAATATTTACGTTCTTCGAGTCCGGCGCACCTTCGGACCTCGAATTTAAGGCACGTCGTAACCCGTGGCTATGTCGACCGTGTGTTTTCTCGTGCGGGGGGATTATTTTAAACCTTTTTATGCGAAAAGGTTGGAATATATATTCTACACGATAAAGCTTGCGAGTGTATATTATATTGACGACGCCTTTCGCGTTGCACGGCGCTTTGCAAAATGCTTGCAAAATACAGCTCCATTAAAGTAACAAGTTAATGGGTATCGACCATCTAGAAAATACATAAAATATTTTCTTGCTAGGATAAAAAAAAATCCAGTTCTAATGGCATGCAACGCGTAAATAACGCTGAATTATTGCGGACGAATAAATGCTTCTCCCTACTCCTCTTTCTTACTACTCCCTCGCACTTGAATCCTATAAAATCGACTTCAAGGGAGATTAAGCACGATACACTCGAGTGTAATCGAAAGTACGCGATTAATAGCGCGTGAAAATGTAAAAAAACTTCGTTATTACTATTACCGCCCGATATCAATTAATCGTGCCGCACCGTTTGCGTATGATAATTAATTCGTAATTACAATACTGACGATGGGACGGATAAAGCACGCGAGCCGAGCCGGGAGCGGGACGCGTTTCACGGAATAAAGGAGTTGGTCACATCCAGCTCCCCGGCCATTTCTCCTCGCCTATTTTACGGCGTTCCGCCCCGAAAGTTTCTCCAGAAAAATTTTTCCCTTCATTTCCTATGTAAATTTCTTCGTACCTCCTCTCCGCTGTGTATGTACGCGTACGGATATAACACGAGCACTTCGTCGCTCTGTTTAAAGAACGCTCTATATTTGCAGACGCCGCCTGCGTGTTAAATATACAGAGAGACGCATTCTGACTCGACCCCACCGAGAGAGAGAAATCCGCATGTCCTTCTTGGGACCCTCCGTAAATTGCCTGAGATCCGCTGTCGGGACATTTTAGAGAGTGTTTACGACGCGATTTTTTATTGACATCGACCGCACTCGAGCGATTTCGATGTCGTGGATCGCGATCGACGCGGCGCTGGAAAAGCGCTGTCCTCCTCCTTCTTCCCCTCTCTCTCCCTCTCGAGTTCAACGAGGAAAGATCACTCTAAATCTCTTTAGCCCGGCACTCGAGAACGCGCCGTAAAGTTAACTATCGCGACGTCCTGTCCAGCGAACGCGGACTCGTTCGCCCGGTTTTACAGGCTGCGGACTTCCGTCCGGAGAAACGCGAAAATGGATACCGGCCAAGTCGTATCAACGTAAAATATTTTCTTACGGAGATATGTCTTCCGATCGACTCCGCGGGATGTTTCTCTATGGTATATCCCTCCTGCGAGCAAACATCGCCGGTTTATGCGCCGCGCGGGTAGATGCGAAACAGCGTTCGCGAGCCAGAGCGAGAGCGAGAGAGAGAGAGAGAGAGAGCACTCAAACAGGCAAACAATCGTGGAATTTTAATTTTGGTGTTATTTCCTGACGAGACTCGCGGTCACGTACGAAATTACGTACGTAGCACGCGGAAGTGCATCGCGAGGAACGTCTCTGGGAAACGACGATGACGATATGGTCGCGTAACTCGTGGCGCACATACTTCTTCATTTCTATAAGTAAGAAATGTTTTATGTATCGTGGTACTTTTCATCCCCGTGCTGAGATATATATACTTTTATTTGCCACGAGAGAAAGAAAGATAGATGATGACGTGTGACACACAGTGTGAAAGAAAAAAAATATATATATGTAGTTATTGAGAGGAATCCAGCTCCTTTGGAGTTCACGATCAATTCCGGTCACGAGCCCTACAATCATCTCGCGGCACAGTCGTCGGATTATTCTGGCTGACGGCGCTTCTTGGTGGCTTTCAGGTGGTCCGAGTCGGGCGGAAGTACGTACGATAGTTACCGGGCGTTATTGACGTGCCGTAGTTACTGACCCTCGCGAGTCAGTGTACGTGGGTACGTAGTGTGTACATACGTACACGTGTGTGCCGCAGTTACTGGCCGTTGCAAGTTTTCCTTAGTTACTGTCCGTTATGAGCATCCGGTACGTACTAATAGTTGTCGACGTTGAGTGGTTTATTGACGTTGCAAACTTTATAACGCCTAATTCGGTGTAGGCATGCGCGCACCTGACCGCCCCGCGGCGAGGTGTTCGTAATCAACCGCGGTGAGACAAAGGCCAGGCTAATGGATGTACTCGTCGTTTCCGAGCATTAAGGATCCATCACTCATCAGGTGTCGTATTTTCAATGGCCCATCGAGGGGACTGCTTATAAACTTAGTATTTATCGGGAGAAAATTACGCTTCTATACACTTATTTCACTACTTAAAAGGTAAATCTCTCGAATGGTCAGTCTTTCTCTAATTACACGAGCAATGAGTTAGATAATGCTTCAATGTGTACGCGGCGCAAGTTTCACGGTATTCCTGTCAAACTCGTTTCACCTCGCGACTTTCAAACGGAATAACTTTTGATCCAGGATCGGAATTATCGTCAAACTTTTCGTGCCGCTTTTGAGTGCAGTGTAGATCGATTTATACATTTTTCCGAAATTTTTCTCATCACTTTGAGATACGAGTGATACGTCTTTACGTTGACCTCGCGGACAAGACGGGCGTTCGTCGACGTGTGTGCACGCGCCGATGAAATTGATCGCGTGACGTGGTGAGGCTTCGGAATGCAAAATCCCGCGGACGGATCCCCAGTCGCGAAGGTGGGAGGGGCGGATTTGGAAATTGCGGAAACATATATGCGGGAACGCGAAACCCCCGTACTAACAGACACGGCGATTCCTTTTGCGAAGAAATGAAATTGTGTTTGTGCGGAGAGACGCGAGGTAGCCCGCGATACGCGAGGCGTTGTGTTTGCGGTGATATGAAACTCTTGGCGTCGTCGCGACGAGGAGGAGGAGGAGAGGTTCACCGAAATTGCAAATACGAGATTTTGCGAAAAACCTTGCCGAAAAAAATCTCACTAAACATCGGATTCCCGCGAAACCGAAATGTTTGGAAACTCAGTCACTCGACTGGGAAGCGTGCTTTCGTAGAAATATTCCTTTTTTCTTTTTTTTTTTTTTGCCAAAATCCAACCGATATTTTTGCAAACGGGGAAAACTTCTGTTTGTAAACTCGCAAGATTTACACGCGCACTCACGAGTGGGCACGAGTAAAGTTCTTCTTTCCGCATTGCACGCATCGTGATAACTATTATATAACGTCGTCGCACTCTGAATTCGCGCGAATGCTGAAACATGGCGCTGAATAGAAGACAAAAATTACAGCGATCTCGCGCTTTATTTATCGCCCGCCATTAACCCATTTTTACAAGACAGAGGCTGAATTCCTCGTCGCATTTCCTCAGATGTTTCGAGGCACGTGAGACATCCCCAGCTTTATTTCCGAGGGCGATATTTTCCGTGCGATAGATGCACACACATATACACACACACGCAGAATTAAGGCACGGGCCATTAATGTATAACGGGTATTCCTAGTTGCGAGGCCGGCAATAGTTGCGCGCGGTAGTTACTGTTTGTATTCTACAGACGTATTAGTAGTTGCGGATCGCCATGTCGAGCGCTAGTTACTAACCGTTATGAACGGGCAGTGATTACTGTTCATTATACACGGACAGTAGTCACCGACTGTTATGGCTAACAGTGACAGCTGTGTTGCCAATCTATATTCCAATTACCGTATCATACGAAAGCGGTGTCAAGGTTTCGCGTTTATTTTGCTCGTTTCTTCGCCCCCGTGTTTTTTCCCCTATTTTCCCCCTCGTTTTCGCCGCTGCGGTCGAAAACGCGCGGTCTAAAATTTCCGACAGTGCGGATAGCGAAAAGTAACACGCAAAAGTTATTAAACTCCCGGAGTAGTGCGTTTTCGTGATATTCATATTTCATTTTTCTCGTGCGCGCCGCGCGCACGCTTCATTTTCATCGTATTAAGTTTTAGTGACGGGCATCAAAACTCCTAAATGAACACGGCGAGAACCACGGCGATGATGGAAATTGTGTTGCGCGCGATTTGATGAAAATTCGATTTCTCGTTAAGCGTGCGGAGGGAAAATGATGTTGCGCGGATTATTTCCGAGCGAAGTCTGCCGTCGAAAGACGGCGGGCCCCTCCGTACGGAACGCTGGACAGATCGGAGAACACCTTCGCTAATGGTTTCCCCCTTGTCATTTTGCCGGTTCGCAGGTGTCGTGGATCAAGCGGAAGAACGTGCAGGAGTTGCTCACCGTAGGACTGACGACGTACGCCAATGACGAGCGGTTTCAGGCGATTCATTTCCACCACAGCGAGGACTGGACTCTCCAAATAAAATACGTTCAGCCGAGGGACGCCGGGCTGTACGAGTGCCAAGTGTCTACTCACCCGCCCACGAGTATATTTCTGTATCTCGAGGTCGTCGGTAAGAGTAAAATTTCATCACGGGGAGAGTTAATTATCAATTATACACACTCAGTCGCGTTCTCCTATTACTCGAAAGGCTCGCGTTCTTTCGCATCTCTCGCGCGTCATTGTATCTCTCTCTCTCTCTCTCTCGTATCTTTCCGCGGAGAATCCCGCGGACGTCGGTAACGAACGGTTCGTGTTTGAGGCAGGAAGGCTTTATATTATACAGAGGAGTCCTCGCGGCGAAAATGTTCGCCTCATAATTAACAGCGCTGGACGTATTTTCATTCGGTAATTTTTTGTTAATGTTTTTGCTTTCGCGTGCGCTCGTAAACAGGCGAGCTGACCGAATAATGAAAAATTATATCCCTCTCTTCTTTCCCCTCCCTCTCTGGCCCTCCCCGTCCTCTACTCTCCGTCGTTCTTTTGAAGCAAAAGCCGAACAATGTCTCGGTATATTGTATGTTTACCGGTATTCCTCTGTGTATACACCTTTCCGTTGCCACCTTCTTACATATTTAACTCACGCAGTGCGCAAGGTAAATATATACCGGCTTGGCGGTCGACGAGTAGCAACGGGGACGCGCAATGTGCGTGTACATGTGCGTGTAAACGTGACGCACACTGCTCTCTCGTGTGCACTCGCACGTATGTACCGTATATCTCGGCTTTCCGCAGAAAGGGAGAACCGTGAAGAGCATCTTCAACCCGTAGCCGAAGAATATTTTCGTCGGTCTGTTGATAAGAGCGCGTCTATGAGCGTAGTACGAACTCTCCCGTTCTCTTCCTCTTTTCCCTTTCTTCCCTCTCGTGTTGCTTATATCGTCTCTACCTGGCTACCTTGACAATTTGTGCACTTCCGCGCATTTTCCAGAAGACATTCCTCGCATAACTTCTCTATCCCACCCTCGGTCGACAGCCACGATTTAAGTGCAAGTTGACGAAAGCCTCAGCGTTTCGGTGCGTCCGCGCCGTCACCTGGCGATAGGTATTTTTATTTAGATTTTATTAAGCGGTACACAGGCGGGGATCGATAGTGTGAAAATACTTTCCGGTTGTCGCGGGAATTTCATGAAATACGCTCCCGTCGACGGCCGCGTTCCCTCCTCCCCTTTTCTCTCTCTCTCTCTCTCTCTGTCGCTCCCCCCTGTGCTGCACGCGCGGCTCCCGCATATTTGCATTTAGATTCGGCTTTTTCCGGCGCGCGTCTCTTATGCGCGAGGCTATCTAATTTCCTCGGGATTTCGGTGCCCTTTTTTCGACGTCGCTCGCGCACGGTATTACGCGGCCTCTCGCCACCCTTTTCCTTAGGCGCCCTCGATATTTATGCCCGTGTGCGAGCGCAACATGCGCCCCGCCACACGCCTCACCCTTTTGGCCCTTTTCCCTTTGAGTTTCGGCACTCTTCATCGCGCTCTCGTACGTGATTTCGGAAATTCTTGCCCGAGCTACCGCGCGAACAAAGCACCGTCAGCGTATAAGTCAATATTACCCCTCGAGAATATTTCGTCGAGCACTTTTACCGATATATCCGCGAGATATCCCGGAGAATTATCCGACAGGCAGTGTGTAACATGTTTCGTGTGTATGTTACGTTCCCCGGCAGCGTCCGTCCGCTTCGGCCTCCTCGACCTTGTTCTTTGCCGAATTACGTTTACATAAGCAGGCCGCTTCTTTCATATTTATGTACTGTTAGCCCTCCTCGGAATACATCGGATAAATTTCTACACAGACGCCGCTACTCCCGATGTTCTTAGCACCTAGCAGGAGAGCGACGGAGGGTGAAAACAATTTGAGATATCGAATGCGACGGATCAGCCTCCGTATTGAACGGACTGATTTTTATATAACCGACGCTGGTTGGTGTCAGTACGTCGAGTAAACGGCGAAAGTTGACGCCGTAAAGCGGAATACAGGCGCTTCGAGGACTACGGCTCGACTCGCGGAAATACGGCAAAAACTGATCTCGGAAAATTTGCTTTAACCGGCGCTACTCGGGTCTATTAATTGGTGAACTTTGATTGTCAGTTAACGCTTATAACTTCCAACGCTCTGATTATTCTATTCTGTTAACTTTATTGCACGTAAAACAAACAAACCAAAATTATTATTAATTAATAATTGTTAACAGGATAATTCAGAAATTCCAAAGGCGCAGCTAGAGTCGAAATTTTAATGCTACTTTGACGCTCTTAAGGATATTCTGCGTCTACTTGGATAGCCTAATAAAAACCTGCTCGAATGATAACACCGAAGACTGACCTTTATTAATATTCCTCTCTTAAACACTTTTAATCTTACCAATTTAATTTCTGGCTAATTCGAACAATTTATTTCGACGGTGAGCGGTGAAAACAAAAATTAAAACATCGTCGGTGTCAAAGTAGAAGTAAATTATATTATTAAAATTAAAATTAGGCCTATTTTACGATCTTGGTTATATTGTGTTGTGCAATTAAAGATTCAGCATAAGGTAAAAGTCTCGGGCAGTACAATTTCTGCCAGATTAAATCGGTAGCAAATCCGTGTACGCTTTTTACGCGCGTAACATCTCCAAGTTACACATCTCCGGTGTCCTTACTTTCATACGCGGCGATTCGCTCGCGCTCTGATTACGTTTCCCCGTTTACGTACACCGAGTTAATTTATGCCAAGTTGTTTATAATGTGTACTCTAATTCCTGACAGTACATATTTTATGTATGCAGCATCGTAATTTTCTCGAGATGTCGGCCCATGTTTTTGCTTCGCGCCGGGTATCTTGGCGTGCTATACGTAACTAAGGTCTTTTCTTGCGTGCCTTTAATATTTATGTTTTTCTGTGCGGATCCGAGCTGAATTCAGGCCGTTCTCGCGTTGTTGACCATTCAATCGCGCGAAAGTCCCGAAATGGTAGAATGTCTAATGAAGCAGAACCGGGGCCGCCACACGTGTCGGGAGATCCTCCGCCTCTTCGAGCAAACCTGTCTCCTTCATTGTTTGACTTGGGAAGAAATTCAAACGCGATCTTATCGCGTCCGCAAGCACGCGATCTCTCTTAGTTAGTTCCCGAAGCAATTTTCACGAGTAAGTTGACGAGTGAGTTCTATTTACTTTCGTTACTCGGTTCATTAAGTTCCGCAGCCCGAGCCGCAATCACGCGGCCGCGGGGAAAACAATTGGGTTATTAACGGTCGCGGATGTAATATTCTCACCGGTCTCGATCGCAATTTCGACCGGCCGATCGGGGGAGGGAAAGGGACTCGAGGTGAGGCCTCGCGAAGAAAATTGAAATAAACCTGTCGAAACGCGTTTATACATCGACCAGCGTACGCGCGCGCGCGCGCGCGACGGCTGAATAGAGAAGATCCAATTGAGGTACCAAGAATGAGAACTCGGGGAAAGGTGAATTTAATGAAGGCAGCGAGTCGGAAGGAATCCGGCATAACTTTCGAATCAATATGATCGTGATATTGTCTTTGAAATGAAGATAGTTTTAAACTCGGCCTTAATGAGCACTCATTAAAATACAATCGGCGCGCAGCGGGCGCCGCGCCCGCTCGCCGCGCGAGCGTTCGTCCATTTGTTCGAACTCCGGCCGTTATTATATATTTCGCCCTTCGAGGATTACCAGGCCGCTCTCGGCGGAGCCATTCCGATTTCTCGATCGCTCGGTGGCGGCACCGAGTCCTTAAGCTAACCGGCGAACAGCGCTCTTCGCGCGAGGGAGCGCTCACGATGTATTCCGCGGCACTTTATAAGCTGCCTAATTCTCCGCGTAACATCTCGAATTTCGAATTTACACGGGCTCGCAGCTTCCCATTTAATTACGCGGCCGTGCACGCCAGCGATAAGTCGCGGAATGATACTTGAATGCGTGCGCATCGCCCGCGTATTATTAAACGTGACGCTTCTTTTGCGGAGAGAGAAAGAGAGAGAGAGAGAGAGAAAGAGACTTTGAATTATTAATTCTCAGCGGCCCGATGCTATTGCTCTGATGATATCCCCTTCTGCCCCCCTCTCCCCCCTCTGCCTCGATACCCTGTCGCGCGATATTTATGCCGGTTTTATTACGCTTTTGCGTACGGCACCGGACGGGGTGGAAGCGCCGTTAGAAAATTAACGCTCCACGTCCGGAATTAACCGTTCCGCATTCCGCTTCGATAGACGATGGGGAACAACGGCTGGATATCTGTGAACACCGAGTGGCGATCCATCGAGTTAGAATATTTTGTTATTCCGGGAATAACAAATGTACGCAGCTTAGGGCTTTGTTCTAGAATGCTAATCCCTTTAGTTCAGGCTTACATTAAGAGGATAATATATGGTATTTGTGACTATATCGTCATAGTGAAAAAATTATAGGGAAATAGTTTTCCTAATGAGTGTTACTGTAGCGTCAGTGATAAGAACTTTACATGCATAATGTTTTATTTTATTCATATTTTTGCGGTTATAATCATAAAAGGATATAGTTGAGGCCGAAGATAATTATAACTTCTCTCAGTGTTTGCTCCTAAACTTTACGTTTTGGAGGCGTGTATTGATTAAGTCTAGAACAGCACACCTGAGTACTACGTCTATGCTATGTTATTGAAATGCTTACTGTTTCTATGTAGTGAAAGATAGCAGGTTGGAATTGGTGAGGGAAGAACTTTTGTTCTCTCTCTGTTCCCATGTTGCGCAACTTCATCTGCCGTTTAATAGATATAAAGACCGCCATCGAAATCAGTTTTGGATGTGCCACACCCATGTGAAAAGTTACATCCTTTATTAAAAAAAAAAATTACTATTCCTTTTATATAATACGTCTTTATAAAAAAAATTGTAATATTTTAAATAAATAATATTTTTATGAAATATTTATGAAAAATATTTTTTGTTATTTATGAAACTTTTATTAGAGCTTTTTACAAAATTTAACTTTTTTTTTTAATGTCAATCGTAATTACAATGATACAAGCGCGTTCGTGACATTCTGTCGTTCAAATTTAAAAAGTATATGTTTAAAAATATCCAGTTTTCGAAGTTATTGATA